CACTGTCGAAATGTAATCATATCATGTTCTCTCTAGGGGGACGTTGCGGCGTAGGTGTGACATTAGTTTTGTCCGGGAGCTTTTGTCATCTAAGTAATGCGTAAAAATATGCATGTGTTATAATCAAGAGGAAAATATTAACAGTAAGGGAAGAAATAGGAACATATTTATATTGCAGAAGGTTTAAAAAGCTCAGGTTTTATGCATGCTTTTTATTTGAAAAAGCGAACCTGTTTTCAAAAGTGCACTTCTCTTGCTTCTTAAAACATCCCACAACTTGTCTCAAGGCGGAAGAAATAAGGGAATTTAGTGAAAGGTTCAGTGAGCTGTTTTCCGGCAGACGTTGATCTACAGCTTTTTAACTTCGCAGCACAGACTCAGGCTTTGTGAGCCTCATGTCTGTTTTCAGAGTCTGTCTTCTCCCCTTGAAAACATTTCCTTATCGCTCATCTGTCAATTCACAATTCTCTGTCTCACTTTTTGTCAGCAGGACCAAGCTGCGGCATGCTCGGCCCCTAGCTCTTAAAAAAACAAAAAAAAACAGCGTCCATAAGAAACAAATCATCCATTTCAAAAATACATGCCACTGTTCAGACAGATTAAACTTCTGATAAACGCAACAATATTACAGGACAAGAGAGCAGTAACCACTTTGGATACAACACCTCCTCCATTAAGCTTGTTTTGACTCTGTTTAACCCTCGCTTACAATGGAGAAAGGGTGGATGATCATCAAATCTTTTGCCTACTGAAGAAGAAAACACTCCTTAAGAATAGTGCACTCAGGGACCCAGTGCAGAGGAGCGTATGAAAAGCTGGCGTGACACTACCAATTCCCCTCTCTGCAGCAGATAGCAATACACATCAACGAGTGCGGCAAAGTTAAAAGTGAGGTGTCGAACTTAAGAAAGTTTCTGGGTATTGAAGAGACATTCAACACTATCTGCGCGCCTCGGAGGGGAATGTCAGAAGCAGGGCTGGTATCACCTGCCACCTGGAGAAAAACCCTCAGTAGATTTTCATTACTGATTAGACAGCGGAGAGTGCAGACGGATTCAAAAGACTTCCCTTATTTGTTGTTCTACAATATCTATGGAGAATCTTTGTTTGACAGGCTTATGGGGGTGCGAAGCGTGTTTTGTACATGAGTCGGATCCGGCCCCTGCTGCTAATCAGAATGACAAATGTACGGTTAATAAACAAAAGCGAGATTTGGAGCCTTGCTCTGAGATGTGAATGAATGTGTTTTTTCTAAAAGCACATTCTGCAGGTGCAACATCATAGGAGAAAAAAATCTGCCCTCTATGCCTGCAAATCCGCTAAGATGGAATTCACCTATGATTAATAAAACTTCTGGTGAAAGAGCTCCCTGGATATAGAAAAAGTTTCCTTTTTATCTAGGCGGTTATAGTAAATTATCATCTCACAGCGCATCATTCCCCAATCTGCGGGCCACTTTGTTTCCAAAGCCTGATGAGCCACACTGGACTGATTATAGAGACAACTGTTGGAGAGTCACGCAACTCCACAGCATGCCGTCTCAGGGGATAATTTGCCTGGTCATTTCAGGAGAAGAGCAGCAGTGGAAACCATTTGAAAGCTCATGATTAAACATGTAATCATTTCTCCTTGCTTATTTGGGATTTAAAATAAAACTACTGAGAATGAATCTGACCAAATAAAAGTGGAAGAAGATGAGAAGTTGATTGTATGATTACTGTTGTGTAAATGGCTTTCCTCTCTAGACGTGCAGCCCTCTGAAGTCAAGGGTTAGTGATTCTTCTCAGTTCATGACTGAGTTCAGAGCCTGTTCAACATTAGAGGAGATACACCACAGCTGGTGTTCAAATTCAGGGATAAGCAGCAGACCTCCTGTCTTTAATAATTTCTTGACAAAAAGACAATTACTTAATAAATTCACCATGTTTTGCTCAAAGTGTTTGTGATAACTGTTCACTGCTGCCTTTCAGGGCAACAGCAGTTATCTGTGGCATTTTGATGATTTCTAGGAACTCTATTCATGCAAGTATGAAATTAAAGAAGATTGTGTGTACACTATGTGTGTGGTTGCTTCGAGGCAATACGACAGAATGAGTGCCATAAACTGTCAGAAAATGATTCCCTATTTACCAGGGGGCTTTGGCGAGCCCACTACATTTCTCAGCTGAATTTGCAGTGCTGCTGATAATGTCAGGATTAAAAGGCAGATCAATTAATCCACCACGCTTCTGATTCTTGACATTTCATGATACGAAGCACAGGCCGCCTAAAGGGGAGAATCACATTTGTGTAAAGCTTCAGATGAGCAAATAACACAGCTCAGAATCTCTCGTATCTTCAAAGAAATACAGACTTTGAAACGTCCTAATGAAGATGTCAGGCTCCCTTCTCTCACTGCAGATCTCTCCGGAGAAGCTAATTAGCAACCGCGGCCTGAAATCACATTGACATTCTGCATTCACTCAAGCTGCTGACTGTGACTCTTATCTCGATGGAGGTTTGATTTGTTTTCCATTTTAATAAAGGTGCGCTGTATCTGATGGAAGCTCTGGAAATGGAAGCGGATGCAGGAGCGTTGAGTTCACTTACATAAACAATAAACACAACATGAACGACCTGCCGCTGTTCATTCAATCATCAACACAATACAAACAAACATCCGCACACTTCATTAGCATTTTAGAAATCAGGAGCCTAATACAGAAGCGGATGAATAACAGGAACACATTAATTGTGAATACAGTAAATAATGTAGCAATTTTTTTCTGGGGACCAATTTATCCACATCCGAGAGCCACCTGTTGACAGTCACAGTCTGACTAATACTTACAAAGGAAATGCAAAGATACCTTTCCCATCCTTTGTGTTACCCTTATCTGTGGAATGTCTGCCTGTTATTATTAAAAACTCAGGAATGAGGAAAAGTCGTCACCAGTGAGCGAACGCAAACATGTGCCGCATTCCGGCATCAAACACTTCCTGTAAACAGCCAAGTGTTTCCTGTGTGGAGGCACATGTTGCTGTATTGCTGCCCTACGACTGTGTCATGTTGCCACGTCCGGCTCAACATCCCTGGATGCAAAAAGCTAATCCTTCCACAGCTTACACTCACGTCACGGCACAAAGTCCACTCATTCACTCAAAGAAAACCCCATCTGTTACATTTTCATTGAAGGCTTTGCTTCAGGCTAAGACAATTAAAGCTAATAGAGTGCAAATGTTTGAGCCTAAAGAACTGCCAACTTCACAATGTCTTACACATTCTTATCCATATGCATAGGACATTTTAATGAGTGAATGAAATCCAGTCCTATTATCTCATGCAGCACCTGGGTCCAGCACATTCTGGATAATTCAGTTTTGATACCCACATTAACTGTTCATTTAGAATAACTCTGCAGGCAGTTATCCCACATTACTTTTAGATTATCCTTGAACGTTGAATTAAATTGAATTCTGAATTACTCCCAACAACTCCTAACTACTAAGTGTGCTGGTAATGGCGCTATAATCCCCACTGTCTCTCATTATGTTCAATTGGAAAGAATTGGTCATGCTTTCTGTCAGTGATCAGTGAGCACCTTTGAGAAAAAGCTGTGAACAGATTCTTTAAAAAGGCACTTGGGCGAATTATCTCGGAGCTAAAAAAAGGACAGGCTTGGATAAGCATCTTTAGCCCCCGGGGGCTTGGCCACCCCTGAGGTGAGAGGATTGCTTCACATGAAGTGAAGGCTTCAAGTGCTGCATGTAAAAATGGAAGCTGCTCTTGTTGTTGGATCTGGAGTGGGTGGCACAGACATGTTGCCCTCTGGGACCTGGAGCCTTTGGGAGACAATGGGCGGGCTGTGTGAAGCGGGAGCTGAAGAGTCCAGGGTCACAGGGCCCCTCTTCTCAGGTCTACACCACTAAAGTGACTGTTTAGTGACAACACATAGAAAAGGGTTTGTGTGGAAGACTATGGTGGGGGGTGTTTGGAGGTTGTGACCAAAGGCGGTCCATCCATCATGTGTCACTTCAGCCCTTTGGGAACTAAAGTGAACTGAAGCCATACCAACAATAATTCATAAAAAAACACCTATTTTAAAGATTATTTTATTGTTGGATCAGATCTGCAAACTAATTGAACCAGGGTGAAGTACATTTTGTAATTGGGTGGAGTTCAGTGTTTTTTAATTGTGTATGCATAGTTTAAAACATACACAATTGATGGTCCTTCCTGAATGATTCTCTTGTCAAGTGGGGATGTAGAAACTTCTCGCATTGAAATCGCTCTGTGGCTAAACGCGATAAGAAAACTTGATGTACTTCTAGTGCCAGCGTAGAGTTCTCACCATTCACTGCAAGAAATTCAACCTTTCCTGTTGATTGTATGATTAAACAAATAAAACATATTTTTATAGCCGTTGCAGGGTGGTGGTTTTCTTGTGGCTTTTGTTTGTGGAAAGAATATAACCTTTGTAGCTAAATAAAACAAATGACTTCAGGGGCAGAGGAACCAATTGTGCGAGCAATGTAATCGGGTAGAGTCTGATACGTTTTTTCCGGCGGTTACTCACAGCGTCACGAACACTCACTTCAAACGACGTGAGTGATTTAAGCTATACCTTCAGCGCCACTGAGGGCAAAGAATAGTGAGGAAGAAAGGTCCTTACAGCTGGCATAGATACAAAAGCAGGAAAAAATGAACCTCATCTCACACCTTCCCTTCTTTCATCTACTTCCCCTAATAAGCTGGTATTTTGATTCCTGGATTCCTGGCAAGCCGCCCTGTTTGCAATTCAAAGAGTTTTCAACAAGAGCATCTGTTTGGGTATTATCATAAACCTGCATGCTCCCCCACCCTTCACCTCCCACCTCCCCCCTTTTCCCTTCCCTCCCTCCCTTTGCTACCGCTCCGCTCTTTCCTCTGCCGTGTGCACTTGCATGTTTGCTTGAAAAGGGGTGGAGAGCATGGGTGATGGTGGGGTTAGGGGGGCTTTTCCTTGACCCACAGAGTCAATGATACATAAGCCACATGACCAACTAGACTCATACAAACGCACGGAGGGACGCACACTTGGACAGACAGACCTGCAGGCTGACTTCCAGCACATTCACAGCTCCACTGAACTTGGCTCAGGCTGCCGTTTTTTTACTGACAGAAGAAAAGAAGAAACACACACACACCTCTGTGGGAGAGCTCAGATAAAGACGTGCCTTCGGTCTTGGAGTGGCGCTGTCACACACACTGATATACAAATACGCATTTAGACAAACACACAGCCACAGCCAGGGAGCCACCACACACATATTCCCACTAACTGACACACTCACTTCTCACACACAGGAGAGCAAACAGTCTCTCTCTCTCTCTCTCTCTCTTTCTTGCTCGCTCAGCTGCTCTCTCTCCCTCTCCCTCCCATCCACACACACACACACACACGCACACACACACACATACACACACACACACACACACACACCACTACAGTATATCAGCGAGTGACTAGCGGAGAGCCAGAGGGGAGTGCAGAAATGAATGTGAAGATCCTGACGCTGGTGATTGTGCTCTTGGTGTCTCTGCTGTGTTCTGCCAGTGCTGGTGAGTACAGGAGCGTTCAGCCTCATCGCCGGGCGTCTCGCTCTGCTTTCTATTTCTCTCTCTGTTTGCCTTGTGCTCTTGCAGGCATCTGTAGTTGATCAGTTACCCAGCATGGTTAGCCTTGTGTGGGCTCTAAAAGGCAGGAATATCAGCACCTGGCTGTATACAGTACTGCACTGCAGTGGTTATACTGTCTGCTATTGTGCTGCCATGGCTTTTTATGTTAAACTTGAATGTGAGCTGAGATTGATCATTTTCTTCCCTGCCTCACCTTGATGAAATCTTGGAACACTTGGAGAGGAAATATTGGTGTTGATGGACATGAATGTGTGGAGCTATGCCTGAGTGATAATAATGCTGTATGCATGGGTGATTGTTGTGGCTGTTATGAAATGTAAGATATGCATGGCACATGTTCTGTAAGGTGGAGTGATTCCGATTTATGTATGGCTTGATGTATTCCATCTGACCCAAGTGCTATATAAATCATTACATGACTGTGATTGTGCAGCAGGGCAACACAGCACCTATGCATGCTTGCCTCCTGTGGTGATGATAATGAGCACTGTAATTGTTGTATGCATCGATGAGGGAAACACAGATCCCAGATAGATGGATCGTCTCCTGAGGGGCTTGCCGCCTTGTCACAGTACATTTCCGTAAAGTGCTGCTGGGTCTCTGGAGCCATTGTTGGACTAGATATCAATTCCAGTGTGGATCTAAAACGTCTGATATTTAGAACAAAAACATTGACTCGGGACAATTATACAGGGGCAGGGCATATTCTCTCTCATTGCTGGTGGGAGGAAACGGGTTCTGAGATATGTGGCCGGGGGTTTAGTTTGGAGAGCGGTGGGCAGTCTGCAGATGTGATGCAGGTAACATTGTAGTGTGAAAAAACAACAGTTAGGCCTGTGTAAATGTCTGGGCCATTCTTGGGATTATCACCTACCCACTAACTATAGTGGGTAAGACACACAGACACACTGTGTTTAAATGTATTACATGGGAAAGATGCTGTGTAATATAAGATGTAGCATAGTGTATGATCATAAGATATAGGCCTAGGATTACTATTGAATGCTGTTAGACTATATGTTGCTAGGTGCTGTGCTTGTAAGATGCTGTGTAGACTTTCTGCTTGATGCTGTCCACTCTGTGTATCGATCCACAGCCACAGCACTCACCGTTCCCATGCTTCCCAGCAAATTCGTTTCAGCGACATGCTATTTTTGTCTGAGGCTCACAGCACATGAGTAAATGGGAAGCAATTATCTAGCATCATGGTCAGTGTCGTTTTTCACGCCCTGCGTGTGGCTAAGCATGTTCCACGCCTGAGAGCCCACCGGGCTACACCGGCGACGGGGAAAACAAGGCTGATGTGCCTCAGGCTTTCATGGGAGCTTATCCTTCTCAACGTTGTTCAAGTCATGCCGCTTGTGTGCCTCTCTGTTCCCCCGGCTGCTACTGTAGTACCAGAGCTCCATTGACATACAGGAAGAGAGAGAAAGGGATTGAAGAAGAGGAGGGGATGCAAGTGTGTTGCAGCGTTGATGGGTGTGGGGAGGGATGCTAGCTGGAGTGTGTCTGCGTAGCACAAGCCTCTGCTACAGTATGCGCTGTCGCGGGAAGGTGTCGGAAGAGGCTCTGCATGTAGGCAGTGGGTGTGAAGCCTTTCATCTTGAGACAAACGCTTTTCCAGTTCAGTGGGCTTTCTTTCTCAGGCATCTGTGTGTGGAAATGTGAGTCTGAGAAAGAAGATGCACAGCGACAGAGACAGCATGTGTATGTGTGTGTGTGTGTGTGTGTGTGTGTGTGTGTGTGTGTGTGTGTGTGTGTGTGTGTGTGTGTGTGTGTGTGTGTGTGTGTGTACTTGCAGGAAGCAATTCATATAAAGCTGAATAAAGGGTGGGGAAGTGTGCATGATTATATTTATGGATACATTTGCATATTAGCAAGAAGTCTTATAGTGCAACAGGCAATTCAACTCAACAACCTAATGCTACTCACAATATTCATTCAGTTCACTAAAAGAGCTGCTGTGGCCTTCTCTAGGTAATATTAGCATCCTTTAGCAGCGCACTTCAATTACCCATCCTTGAAAAGCACTCTGGCTCAAGAGTGGGCTCCAGCTTTAGACATGTGGTATCCATAATTCATCCCGAGGCCGATCACTCTTCCTCCCCGTGTAACTCTTAAGACTGGTATATAAACAGTCTGAAAACATCTCGTGTCTCACAGCCTCTTAAAAGATATCAAAGCTTCCTTTTTTTCCCCCATCATGGAAACACCCTGACAATCTTCACCTAGGGATGCTCAGGATAAAAACAATAGCAGCTGGCTCAGACATGCACACACACACACACACACACTTAAACACACAGAGGGTGTAATTGTGAGGCCTGGATTGAACAGGTGAGCCAGTAGTGAGTGTGAGCAGGGCACGAGGCCCAGATCAGAGCCATTATCTGGCAGAGGAATCGTCTGCTTAGGAAGGGGGTGATTTTATGAGAGCTGTCAGCAGTGCTATTATTCCGTATTAAACTTTGATGTATTGTTGGGGCTGGCTGCACCATCATGCATGCATACCGTACTGTAGCTTGCCATGCTCACCCCAGTGTTACGGGTCAATGTAATGAGGGCTACAGTACATGCAGCCACTCATTAAGGCTCCTCAGGGCATAAAACAGGGTGTGATTATTGTGTTAGCAACTTATATATATATGTATGTAAACCAACCGTAGCCAGGAAGCTTTAAATCATAATCCTAGGTTTTTCTAATGTGAAGAAGGTGTTTGTGCCTGTGGACGTGATTATGGCGGTTGTGGAGAGAACAAACACAGCTAAACTTTTCCAGATGTCCAGGAATAACATAAGAACAGTGGGCAAACATGTGTGTAAAAGGGGGAGAAGAGGTTATTACGGGATTATGGAGTATCACAGAGCCTTTTCCTTTTTTATTTGTAGGGGGGGAGGGGAGATCCTGAGCACTACCTGGGTTTATGTCACAGAAAAAAAAACACACACACATACAGAGGGTCGGATGAAATCTCTTTCATGAGGAACCTGGATTTCCTCTTCATGCAACATTACGACGAAATAGAGCCAGAAGCCGGAAGAAGCAGGGAAGTTTACGCTGCATACGATGCATACGACACACACACACAGACACACAGACACACAGACACACACACACACACACACACACACACACACACACACACACCACACACACACACACACACACACACACACACACACACACACACACACACACACACACACACACACACACACACACATACACACACACACACACACACACACACACACACACACACACACACACAGCAGCCAACCATTTAATATTATATATCTAGGGCATTTCTTACAACAGCAACACCCTTCCCTATTTAAAAAGAAAATATTTGATGTAGCTAATTTAAAAGGAGTAAAAGTTCATTCATTTGTTGTATATGGTTTATTTGATGCTAAATTGCCTCAAATTCTGTGAAGCTGCAGTGTAGTTTAGGCTGTTTCAATTGTTTGCGACTGCAGGGTTAGCGTTGGGGGTAGCCATCTTGGAATAATGTTTACACGTTCCGAAAGTCGGAAAAACTGTAGGTTTTCCCATTCTCCCTATTATGTTGGCATTAAACTGTGGTGGTCGATGTTGCAAATTAATAAGCAGATTTTGTGATAAAGTTCCTTGATTTGGCAGGTATTTCAAAAGCTGGATTTGATCTAACAATTACTATGTCAAAAATATTTGAGTTTCTGATACAAACTCATGTATACAGCAATATAATATTTGTCCATAGCGCCTTCCCCTGTAGGGTTTATACTATGCAACTCATTGTAGCTGTAAGTAAGTTTGAATGAGGAGGTTTTTTAAAAAGCACTCTGTGATAAACCCTTCACATCTGTATAATATCACCCAGCATGAGCTTGGTGAATGGCACTCCAAATTGCTCTGGAGGGGGTGGGAGTTGAGGAAGAGATTTAGTGAAAAATCATAACTCATTTGGTAGGGATATAAGCTAACCTTTGGGCTAACACTCCCTGGAGAGCTCAGCTGTTGAAGACTTTGGCATATGTGACTGCTGGGCTGCTGTAATGTAATTCAGAACCCTTTGAATGAATAAATCTACTCACTTAGATCTTCCCTTGAGAGCAAATGCAGTGAAGGAAAAAACAGCAAAAGTGGGAGTAAAAGACGGGCCAAGGGACAGAGAAATAAATAAAGGGTGGACAGGAAGAGAGGCTATCTGGGAGCTCAGAGGTTGTGTAAGCTTTCCACAGACGGGGAAGTCACGGCTACATCTAAAAACTCACAGCTGGTGATGAAGTCTGTCTTTACTAATTCACATGTGGAATGATGACACTTTTTGGCTGTATAGAAGCTAAACATGCTTAAACCTTGTAAAATGTAAATGAAATTCTGATTCCATTCTGATTCCTTATGTATATATGTCTGTTGCAGTCCAGACCCCCTTTTGAGGGCATAACCTGAAGGATTGGGGTAATGGGGGGGGTGTAAGGGGGTCCTGTGTTAACCAGACCTCATGTGATCACCAGACCTTATCCTCAGGCCCGGGGCGCTCCTTACAACTTAATTAGAGCCAGATATTCTCCAAAACTGCTCTGGTTTTCACTACTGACCAACATTAAAGTGATTTATGAGTCTCTTTTTGAACATTAAGTGTTACATTTACAGCAGTAGTCCAGCAGATCATATTCCTGATCAAGATCTGAGTGGACATTTTTATTAACGGTCTGCCAGACCGCAGGATAAATATTGCGGTCTTTAGGAATGCAGGTGCTTTAATTATTTTCATGCTCAATTTGTGGGAACCCAGAATTGAAAAATATGACTTCTGTGTATTGCTCTAGAGATGTCATTTGTGGTAGCCTTTCATACAGCAGCTAAACAGTATGTAGGAGTAGGAATGATTACTCTGGAGAACCAAATAAATATGGTTTAGGGTTTTGTCACTATT